CCTGTGAGGTGAGCTGGGCTGAGAGAGAGGGACTGGCCCAAAGTCACCCAGCCGGCTTTCACGCCTAGGTGGGACCAGAACTCACCGACTCTGCTTTCTAGCCTGGGGCCTTAACCACTAGACCCAACTGGCTTGCATAATTAGCCCTTTTTTAACTTGAATGCAATCATTCTTCAATAACTGCATCTTCAACAGATTTTGCATAGGATTTTTCTGAATAAATCTTTGAAAATACTGTTTTTCATTCAGCTATAGTTTTGTGTTACAGTTCTTGAAAAGCTTAACGTGGGGTCTGAGCACAATCTGGATGGGAGCCAACAGGCCAAAGGGGGAATGGGAAAGAATTGCCCAACAGTGTCAAACTATTTTCATAACATTACCGAGGGAGCTTCATGCTTTTCCCAAAGCACAGTCATGGATTTTTTTTCTTAACAAAGGAAATCAACAGAAAACGCATAGCTTGGGAGAAAGTGTGCCCAATATGTGACTCATGAAAAATACCAAACAGAAACGTTATCTTAGGAAAGGTTGTGCAAAAATCTGGGTTAAGCGATGCGTGTACAGAATGTGTGTGCTGCGGGAGAAAGGTGCCTGAGGACCCAGGTGGGAGTAGCAGGGCCACCGGGCTCCCTTCGGCCTCAGCACTCGCTTGCCCGCCTGACCAGGCTCCCCTCTGCCCTTGCAGGGTCTGCCCAGGAGCTACCGCTGCGCCGCTCGCGCAACCCCATCCCGAGGGCGCGCCTTCGCCTGCTGCGCCTCAGCCTGGCCATCGTTGGCTCCTTCGTGCTCTGCTGGACGCCGTACTACTTGCTGGGCCTGTGGCACTGGTTCTGGCCAGCAGCCATGGAGGGGGCCGTGAGCCCCTCGCTGGCCCATATCCTCTTCCTCTTTGGCTTATTCAACGCCTGCCTGGACCCTGTCACGTACAGCCTCTTCACGGGGGGCTGGCTGGGCAGGTGCTGCGGGACCGCTGGGCGAGGGAGTCAGCCTCCGTCCCCCATCACTGGCTCCTTCCGCGGCTCGGCATCCTCCATCCGCCCCCGAAGAGGGGCCCGGCTGCTCCTCTGCGACTCAGCGGAAGTGGCCCTGGGCCTCGGCTCAAGGCCTCACACAATGGCAGCTGCGTACCTGACCGACGGTCCTTCCACCCAACGGAGTGGGAATGCTGCAAGGCCAGGCCTTCCCCAGGCCACAGAATTGCAAGCTCTCCCGCCCGGGACAAGGAGGAAGGGGCTCCGCCAAGGGGAACTGGGACACCATGGCAGGGCCCCTTCTCTGGGGAGAAGCCTGGATGGGCCTGAGTTAGGCTCCCTCTGAACTGCCTGGTGGGCTCCACGAAGGACACTTCAGGCTGGTTCTCACCTGTTGCTTAAGCCGTAATGTGCTTCTGGCAAATTCTGTCTACCTGCCCATTTGGGCTTACCTTTATGATGCTGCGGCTTGTTCAAGAAATTATGGCTAAACACACTTGGCCTCATGCTCTCATTGCGAAGCCTGGGTTGAAGAGCCGCCTGCAACCGCCTCCAGCAGCTGTAACAGGGGTGTGTCTGCACGGGCACAGTTTTCTCTCCCGCAGAGAGCTCTGCTACGTTTTTCCCTGGGGACTGAGCCACATCTCTCAGGTGGGGAAGCAGGTCACGAGGACACACACGTTTTGGCAGATCTTAGGCAGAAGGGAGTGGGTCGCCAATGCTCCCCTCCCCACACCAGTGTTCCTGCGCATCTGCTGAGCCCAGGGATGGAGGCCCCGCTCGGCTACCACAAACGCCGCCCGCTGCAGGCCGCTTTTGAGTTCTGAAGCTGACTTGCCCCTGCCAGCTAGCTTGCTCTCTTGCCTTCCCCCTGGAAGTTCCAGGTGGCCCTCCCATTTCCCCCCAGCACAAACCGGTGAGCTCAGTTGAGTGCAACTGGCACAGCATGGCCCAGGAGTTTCTCTGGACTTCAACCCAGGAATGGACTGCGGAAAGAGATGCGATAAGGCAGCTGGTCACTTTTTCAAACAGAGCATGTATTTTGCCCAGCCTTGAAGCAGCCCCTCCAAGCTGCAGGGAGGCCCCTCCCATGACTTGCTGGGAATTCTGGGTGTTGGAGCCCCAGTGACCCCCCAGGGCCCCCCTTGGAAAAAACACCTCGTGGCCCCCCTCGGTTGTGCCCAGAGAAGGCGGGCTCTGCCACCAGACCTTTGCTTCCCACTCCTCCTCCGGTTCCCCAGAGGCCGCTTGGCTCCCCAGGCCCCTTCCTCTTGGGGCAAGGTGCTGCCTGGAGGCTTGGCAGGAGGAGCCACGGGCCCTGCTCTCCGGCCAGGCTGAAAGGGGAGACCTAGTGTCCCTAATGGCTCTCAGGGTGAGGGAGAAGAAAATGGTGCAGACAGTCAGACATCTGCCCAGACTGAATGGAAAACAGCAGGGAAAGGAACAGGGCTGAAGACGGCCCCACCGTCGGATCGGGACTGAGGGTGGCCCTGGAAGCCCTGCAAAGAGGGAAATCCCCTGGGGAAGACAGATCCTGCCTGCCCTGTAAGGTCGACCAGACCAAGAAGCCCAGCCATGAAGGTCTAAAACGACTTTTATTGGAACAGGTGGAGTGACAGACCTTGCAAGTCTGAATGTGCTTCTCCCTCCCTTTACGTTCATGTGAACTAGGGAGGGGCTGTCGGAGGCATTTTCTTGGCCCGGGCTCAGGCCCCTCTTATCTGACCGTAGCCTTGGTAGTGGTGCTTCCTCCTGACCTTCAAGGCCACTCCCTCTTCCCGCCACAGATCCATAGTCCTGGGGAGCAGAGCAGAGCAGCTGCCGTTGCCGTTGCCGTTGCCCCAAAGCCCCGCGCCCTTTCTCCGGAATCCGCACGAAACCGGCATCGCAGCGGCTTCTCCATCTTGGGTGGGAGAAGATGGAGAAGGCGCTTCTCTTGGGTGGCTGGGTGGCTTGCAGGAGAGAGCTGCAGGGCTTGGGGGCTGCAAGGGGGTCTCCAGCATCCCAGAGCAGTGCAGGAGGCCAGGATGACGTCATCCAGAGGAGCACAGCCAATATTTTTCAGCCTCTGTTTTGATGTTTGGAGGGTTTGAAGGAGGGGAATGGGAGCAGGAGGCATCTGGAAGGCAAAGCGATTCCTTTTCCTCATTAAACACTCACATTCTGCAGCACATTTTCAGCACCAAAATGAGGGATTTGAGGAACATGTTAAGGGGAAAAGCGCTTGTTTCTTAGAAAGTTCCCAGCTCTGTGCCCAATCTTACCAAAAAGAAAGGAAAAAAAAAAAAGAAACATTTACACTGTTGGAAACTGACCACTTTGCTAATGAACGTCAGCAGCACGTTGCATGCTGGACGCAAGCGTGGAGTCTGGTGGCCCCCAGGCACTGGGTTGCCTGTCCCTGGCCTGACTGGAGCCCCCGAGGTGGCCAGCGCAGACAGCGACCTGCTCCAAAGCAGGCAGAGGAAAAGAAGAAACGTCCCTGTCTGGCTGTGATTTCAAGTGGAAAGCAAGGACCTCTGTGGGTGATTTCTCCCAGCTGGAATAGCAGGATCAGCAGCGCAACCGCTCAGGACGAGGCTCTTACGGGCTGAGACAGCCTGTCTCTCCTGGGGCCCCAAATGCTGGCTGGCTCAAGGTAACTCGGCACCCAGGCCTGGCCTTTCGGGGGGCGGGTGAGGCGGCGCAGTGGCCCAGCCCCAGCATGCGCTCCCTACAGCTTACAACCAGTTGGGAACCCTAGGGCCTGAAGGGTCCCCCCGAGGCCATCAAGTCCAAGCCCAAATGTCTGCTCAAAACACGCTGCTTCAGCGCCCCTTAAAATCCAGCAGTCCCTTTCCCCAAATGTTTCCCACCCGAGCTCTACGGTTGCAGTGGAGCTGAGCCCTGCCATTACGTCAGCCGAAGCTGAAGGTGATCCGAGGGCCGGCTCTTGCCTGGAATGGGAAGAGGAGCGCCTGTTCACCACCCGCCAAGAGCTGGGCAGGGAAATGCTACAGGCGGGGAGCCATTTCGCTGATTAGGGAGCACCGCGTGTGCCACTTGCCGGCTGTCGGGTCGAGAAAGACAAACCCAGATGTGGGCGTGCAAAAAGCAATACTGGCATTTAATAACAGGATTTAACACAACTGCAAAAGGCCAAATACTTAGGAATTCGCCTGATGAAGAATAATGAGGATTTATTTTAAAATGATTATTTACTGAGCTGGAAAGATTGAGAGCCAGTTGGGTCTAGGGGTGAGGGCACCAGGCCAGAAACCAGGAGACGGTGAGTTCTGGTCCCGCCTTAGACACAAAGCCAGCTGAGTGCCTTTGGGCCAGTTGTTCGCTCTCAGACCCCAGTGTCAGGCCCAGACGACAAGCTGGTCAGTCAATGGGTCAATATCTCGGTTGATCTCAAAAAAAAAAAAAGCGGACCCTGCACCTGGGGGAAAACGCTAGGAAGAAAAAAAATTAGAGCTGGAAAGCTGTAGCAGCAGATATTACCAGATGGAAAAATTAAATTTGTCTTGGTTAGGAAGAACTGCAGCCATTAAAAAGTACATTTTACCAAAATTTTACTTTTTCTTCCAAAGTAGTCCAATATTTATTGAACACAAGGCACCGCAGAACTGGCATAAACACATAATGAATTACACGCCTAGGACGACATTCAGGATCTCTCAGGATCTGAAAGAGCGGGGTGCCCTGGCGGTGCCAAACTTCCAACTGGACGGCCATGCCAGGATTATACCTCCTTATGGGCCAGCTGTCTCTATGGAAGGGGCATCATCTTCTCTGCTCTGATACTAATAATAATAATAATAATAATAATAATAATAATAATAATAATAATAATAAAGGTATTGAATAGCTGGGATAAATATGGGAAAAGAATAAACCCAGTTCTTTCCTCACTTGCTTCGCTGTTAAATATTTACTTTTATGAAGAGGAAAGCACAAAGAAATTATCTTGGGGATACAGAATATTTGTTTACATTGCAAGGTCTGACTATCGATAAAACAAAGATAAAATCTTTGGAGAGCTTTATTTCCAATGATTTCATCCACCTGGCTGGTTTCAGTATCTTCAAAGAAGTTGTGTGTGTGTGTGTGCGTGTGTGCGTGTATCTTTCGCGTCAGTGTCCTTGCAGTTTTCTTGGCAAGGTTTTCCAGAAGTGGTTTGCCCTCGCCCGCTTCTTCCCAGGGCTGTGGGAGCAAGACTGGCCCAGGGTCCCCCAGCTGGCCTCGTGCCGCAGGCGGGACTTGAACTCACGGCCTGCTGGTTTCTAGCCTGGTGCCTTCACCACAACACCAAACTGACTCTCTTCGGAGACGTGGCATAGTATCAAAAGAGTTGCAGAAACAAGGGATTTGGCTGTACTTTGAAACTCTTATAATATGTAACCCAGAGCATCTGCTGGACCTTATTTATAAATTACTAGTAAAGCCTGACTCAGAAACCAAACAAGTCAATGATTGCATAAAAGATGTAGAATTTAGACGTAGTAATAGTTATACAGGACACGAGAGCCAGTTTGGTGAAGGCACCAGGCTAGAAACTGGCAGGCCGTGAGTTCGAGTCCCACCATAGGCGCAAAGCCAGCTGGGCGACCCTGGGCCAGTCCCACTCCCAGCCCTTGGAAGAAGCAGGCAAGGGCAAACCACTTCCAGAAAACCTTGCAGAGAGAAGTAACTGTAGGGACTGGCCCAGGCAGTTGCCAGGAGTCTACACTGACTCAAAGGCATGCGCCCACACAGACAGAGGTAAACAACAATGAAAATTTAAATGGAAGAAGCACATTAACTTATGCTGAACATTATACTTAGAGAAAACTGGTTTGAAATGTTTTGTCTTTGGTGTGTGATCCCAGTCCTGAATGCTAAAATGGACAGTTTATTCTTTAACAATTGCAGTGATCAGGTCGGATCATTTTTTTTTTGTCTGGCACTGTTGCAAAGCTCAACTGTTTTGGAAAATGATTCAAACTAGAACGAAACAAATCTGAAAAGTTGAATTCCCATTTCAACTTGCAATATTTTTACTAAGCCTCACTAAACCCACAAAGAACATTGAGCTAGCACTGTATATCCAAACTGGGGCCCCTTCTATGGCAGAATGGCTCATTAAGTCGTGGGAGTGAAGTCTAGAATAGTCCTGGATCGCAAAAGTAATTCTGACACACAGTTTCGTTCAGACTGGAAA